GCTAATGACAATCAAGTGAGAAGTTAATGAAGAAAGACGTTTTTTCATTAATGTAAGCTGCCTTATTGTTTCTATGTACTCTACCTATCATCCCCCAAGTGGTTGTAGGGAAGATGGCCCACTTTCCTGGTGTGGCGTGCTCATTCCAGAAGGGCCAGTATGTATGTTCGTGCACTTGATAATAATCTACAAGTCTCTTAGAATCTGTTCATGTCTCTTCACTCTTTTTTTTAAATCATTTCAATGAACATATTTTCATATTTGTTGATTCTTTCTTCTGTCTACTCAGATTTGTTGTTGAACCTTTCTAGTGAATTTTTCATTTCATTATTTCTATTTGATTTCTCTTTATAGTTTGTATATCTTTTTTTGTTAATTTCTGGAGTCCTGGTTTGGCACTGTAAAATAAGCACTTGGCACTAGCTGCTTGGTTGGCAGTTCAGACCTACCAGCTGCTCCTCAGAAACCCTATTGCTGTTAAGTGGCATCAAGTCCGTTCCAGTTCATAGTGACCATGTAGAGGGATTCCTGGGAGTGGCTGGTGGGTTTGAACCACTGACCTTGTGGTTTGCAGTCTAGTGCTTACCCTACATCACTACACTGGACTCCAGAAATCCTATACACAATCACTATGAGTTGGAACCTACTCAGTGGCCCTTGGCAACAACAATAACAACTTGATATTCTTTATGTGTTGCTATATTGTTTGCCAGATTTTCTTTAGTCCTTTTAGTATTTTTAGGACAGTTGTCTCATAAGTCCAATGTCTGGGATACATTAGATGGTTTCTGTTAGTCTTAATTTTTTTTTTTTTTCCTGTGGATGGACCATAATTTCCTGTGTATTTGCATGTCATAATTTCTTCTTGGAAAAAAAAATCATATTCTCCTACCAAGATTTGCTCTTCTTGTTTGGTGTGAGCTGCATGTTGTCCTTTTTATTGTTTTTGTTTTTTGATGTGTGTATGGTCTCTGAAATCTGACAGAGGAGACCTGGAAAGGGAAAGACAAATACTTTCTGTTTTTACAGATCGGCTCTGTGCTTAGGCATTCCTTCAGTGCTTAACCAATTGTTTACAACAACTAACAGTTTACAATTGCCTTTGCCTTTATTTCCTGCTTGCATAGAGCTTAAAGATCCTCCAGACTTAAGGTTCTCACAGGTCTTTTCTGAATGTGCATGTAGCCCTAGGCAGCTTTGAGGCTCCATGTTTTGTTTCCTTGGTCTCTTCCTTTTCGGGCTTTTTAGGCTGTCTGCTGCTTGCTCTGTTCTTCCTTACCCCATTTGGCTATAGCTAGTATGTTGCTGCTGTCGTTAAATACCATCAACTTAGTTCCAGTTCATAGAGACCTGATACAAGGTTTCTGCGGCTATAAGGAGCTGGACTGCGAACCACAAGCTTGGCAGTTCAAATTCACCAGCCACGCCTCAGAAACCCTGTATAGATAGGTTCACTGTAAGTTGGAACCAACTCAACAGTACTTAACCACAACCAAAAAAGGAGCAACAAGCTTTATCTGTCTCCCGTGGAGCAGCTGGTGGGCTCAAACTAGCAACCTTGTGGTTCGCAGTCCAATGCTTATCCTCTGTCTTCCTTTAAATGCTTTCAACAAACACTGCCTGGGAGGTCACTTGAGCCCTGTTACATTTCTGAGAGAGATAAAAGAGAGCCCCTAAAGTAATCTTTCACTTGTGACCATAAGAGAAGTCAAAGCACACATGTTAATTCTTGGAGAACAAGATTTATACTGCTCCCTCTGGAATCAGCAAACCACACCAGGGACGAGGGCCACCTTCCTCACAGCCACTTCTGAACTAGGAGTGGGGAATGGTAGGTGGGTAAGTTAAGATGCCGCAATGAGGCTATCTTACCTGAAATTTAAAACTTCTTTCTTCATTAATCTCTCACTTGATTGTTAATTAGTTGTGTGGGTTTTTTGTTGTTGTTGTTGTTGTTGTTTTTGTTTTTTTGTAAGTAGGTTCTGGAGTCCTGGTGTGGTGCTGTAGGTTAATGTACCAGATTGCAAAACCATTTCAGCTGCGAAAGAAAAGATGAGGCTTTCTGCTCCCATAAAGATTTACAGCCTCGGAAACCCCGTACAGAGTCACTATGAGTCGAAACTGACTCTGTGACACACTACCACCACCACCACCACTGTGAGGGTCACGAATGAAACAAGAAGGATCGTGTCTTCAAAAGATTCTGGGAGAGAACCAGAGTACCTTGCTGAGCAGTGACCTGGGGCAGGGAACAACCCACCAAACACCTGACTTTACAGCAGTGACAGCTGGAACACATTAACTACTATTGAAGCATCCCCACCGATCATAGATTGTTGTCGTTAAGTGCAGTGGAGTCAGTTCCGACTCATAGTGACCCTGTATAGGGCTTCCAAGGCTGCAAATATTTGTGGGAGCAGAAAGCCTCATCTTCCTTCTGTAGAGTGGCTGGTGGGCTCAAACTGCTGACCTTGTGGGTCACAGTCCCATGTTATCCTACTGAGCCCACCACGTTCCTCTCCATCATAGATGAGATGTTTTTTCTCTTGGTTCCCCTGCACATACCCTTGCTTGCAAGCACAAAATATATAAACCCGTACCTCACACTGCCCCGCTCAGACCTCTACCCAGGTGGCACTCATAACTTCACTGCATGGCAGTTCCTAGTAAAGCCTTGTATGGTCACCATGACTTTTCCCACCTCTTGTGTCAGAATCCAGCCTGGGCCTCTGAGAGCCACTCCTACATCTGGTTTGCTGGGGTGCAATACCTACTCTGCCATTTTTTATCTTGTCATTCTCATGTATAGACATTTTCATAGTTATTTTGATAATTGATCGCTTGCTCTCCAAAAATAATAAACCTTTTCACAATGTTAACAGATATGCGTTTCAGCACACCTATGTCAGCAGTGGACTGTGAATCATAAGGTTGGCAGTTTAAACCCACCAGCCACTCCTTGGAAATCCTATGCAGAGTCGCTGTGTGGGGGAACAGACTCGATGGCACTTAACAACAACAATAACAACAAATATCTTCATAGGCTGGTATAAAATTTTAATTTTGGGGTTATTATCATTGAATGTTGTATTTGTTGTTAGCTGCTGTCAAGTCAGCCCCCTACTTACGGTGATCCCATTTGTTACAGAGTAGAACTGCTCCATACTTTTCTTGGCTGTAATCTTTACAGAAACATTTCACCAGGCCTACTTTCTGTGGCGCCTCTAGGTGGGCTGGAACTGCCAACCTTTGTTAGTGATTGATTGTAAACTGCTTGCACCACCCAGTCTCCTTATCATTGAATTGTTTTTGTTGTTAAGAGTCATCAAATTGGTTCCGACTCATAGCAACCCTGTATAGGGTTTCCAAGGAGTGACTGACTAGTGGCTTTGAACTGCCAACCTTGCTATTAACAGTGTTGTTGTTGTTGTTAAGTGCCGTCGAGTCGGTTCCGACCCATAGCGACCCTGTACAGGGTTTCCGAGGGTGTAAATCCTTACAGGAGTAGAAAGCCTCATCTTTCTCCCGCGGAGCGGCTGGTAGTTTCGAACCGCTGACCTTAAGGTTCGCAGCCCGATTTGTAACCACTGTGTAATACTTGATATTTATATTGCTTTGAATTTCTTTCATTGTTGTTGCGTTTGAACTCTGGTTGAATTAGTGTTTGCTTTTTACAAGCTGTTGGTTCCTTTGACCATTAAACTCTTCAGTTGTTTCAAATGTTCGCCTTTCATTGGATATTTGGTTTATTTGAGTTTGGGCCTGATCAGATGAGAACTATCTGTGTCTGTGGTAAGGTTCATCTTAGCTGAGGATGGGAAGTTCCTTGCACTGGAGAAGACTTGCTGAACCATCTTTAATGAATGCGTCTTTAATTCACTCATTCATTCAACAGAAATGTACTGAATTCCTACTATATAATTAATTAGTCTATGTTGTTGTTTAAGTGCTGTCGAGTTGATTCCAACTCAGCAACCCTGTATAGGTTTACAAGAAGAGAATGGTAAATTTGAACTGCTGACCTTGTGGTTCAAACCAACCTTGTGGTGCAGTGCTCCCATAGTGTCAGGGACCACAAAGTCATACCCTACCCTTTGTGAGCAAATAGCCTGCAGGGGTAACACTGAGTAAGCGAGGTGTGCAGGACATCTCAGCATACAACAGTGTTCTGCTTTTTAGCTGAACTTTGCTGGTTTCAGTTTTATACAAGTTTATTTCTTGTTTTTTTCTAATGTACCTACGATTATGCTCACCCATCTTTTCCTTAAAATGAAGAGTCGCCTTTTGTCTTAGTTGTCTAATGCTGCTATAACAGAAATACCACAAGTGGATGTCTTTAATGACCAGAAATTTATTCTCTCACAGTTTAGGAAGCTAGAAATCCAAACTCAGTGCTGGCTCTAGGAGAAGGCTTTCTCTCTGTGAGTGCTGGGGAAAGGTCCTTGTCTCCTTTCAGCATCTGTAGGTCAGTCTTTCCCAGGATCTAGGAGCTTCGCAGTACAGTATCCCAAAGTCCAAAGGACATCTTTCCTGGCTCTTCTGTCTTGGTGGTAGTAGGTCCCTCTGAACTCGGCTCACTTCTCTCTCCTTTTATATCTCCAAAGAGATTGACTCTAGACATAACCCTAATCCTGTAGATAGCATCAGCCTCACTAAAGTGAGGATTTATAACACTTAAGATAATTACACCAGATCAGAGCTGATCACAGCAGATCACATCATGGGGTGATGGCATCATAGTAGATCTCATCATGGAGGTGATAACATCTTAACTGCTAAACCACAGAGATTCTTGGCCAAGGCAAGTTGACACAAAATTTTAACTATCACACCCTTCTACCTCAACAACTCCTTTTTCTGCTATCATGATGTTTAATTCAGGGACCTGAAGAAGGAATTACTTTTGGGGGTACAAATGGACCCAGGTCCTCTTCTCTGGGGAAAATAGTTCAGGACATGTAGCTTTCTTCAGAAGGTTCATTTCACCTGATTCTTTCCAGGACAAAACTGCCAATGAGTTGCAGATGGCCAGGCCACAGAAGACCATGCCAGCCCTTCCTCCAAAAACAGGTAGGTGTGCCTCATCTGCACAGGTGGATGCCACAGAGAACTGAAAAACCATGATGAGGGAACCCCCTAGCATCCTGCCCATGGAAAACCCAAGTTTCCAATTCTTCTTGCCCAGTGTACCATAGTGGCCAGGATGGTCACCAGGTGGGCGGTGAATTACTGCATTACTCTGTCCTGTCTGCAGGGGTCCAGGCTGCCTCCAACATGCCCATCCTATTGCCAACCCTGAAGCAAAGCTTCTTTGACCATCCTCTGCATCGAGGGTTCTTGCACCCCATCCGACACCTCTGTAGGCCCCCATTGGCGCTGACTCACAACTCACCAAAGAAGGCAAAGATACAGGTGTCTGGGGACATGTTCCCTGTTGACTGGAGCCCACCACCTGTAGAATTCCTGAACCCGAAGCCTCCACAATCCACCCAGGGAACTCCAACCCAAGCACAGGTGAGTGTGACAGAGCCTCAGGGCCTGAGAAATGGGATCCACCAGCAGTCCAAGGAGTAGAAGCAGAAGCCCCTAAGTTCGGATTCTGAAGAAGCTCGGCTGTCACTGAAGGAACTATTTTGGAACTTGCCAGGCTTGAGCCAGCAGGTCACATCCCCGCGAGGCAATGCCCACACCTCAGTAAGCCACACCCCTTCGTCTTCCTCCTCAGTCATTCTATAAATCATCTCTCCTTGGTCATGCGCCAACTTCCCTTCTTGGGCTACCTCACCGTGGCCCACCCTCCCCTTATCTCTCTTAGCTATCAGACCATGACTAGGAGACTGGCCTCCTAAGGCTAGACTGCACCACACCCTTTATTTATGCTTGAACTCCTAATAGGCAAGATCTTGGTACTGGGGTCTGGGCTAGGTCAGGCAGAGACTCAGGCTGGTTCTAGTCCCATGCAGCAGAATTCCTAAATAGAAACTAAAGTGATGAGCTTCAAGTTGGGTATAAACTACTGTAGCTAAGTAGACTCGTGGAGACATTTAAAAGCCCAGAGATCTGGAAAGTGTATTCTCAAAATACGGTTTTATTTGTTTGTAATAACCCAAGATGGGTTGTTGTTGTTGTTGTTGTTGTTGTTATGTGCCGTGTAGTCAGTTCCGACTCATAGCGACCCTGTACAGAGTTTCTGAGGCTGTAAATCTTTACGGGAGCAGAAGGCCTCATCTTTCTTCCACGGGACAGCTGGTAGTTTCGAACTGCCGACCCTGAGGTTTGTAAACATTACACTACCAGAGCTCCTTGGATAATAACCTAAGTGTCCACTATTAGGGAACTGATTAAATGATTACATTTTCCAGTATAGAACAGCCTATCCCCAGAAATCACCTTTAAGCCAGATAATTGTTGTTGTTGTTGTTAAGTACTATAGAGTTGATTCCGACTCATAGCAACCCTGTATACGGTTTCCAAGGAGCAGCTAGTGAACTTGAGCTACCAACCTTACTATTCAAAGCGACTGTAGTCAAGTGCATTAACCCACAGTGCTAAATAACAGACAGACCTATAAAGTGAACAGGAGTCCTGGTATGACGCTGTCGGATAAGCACTAGGCTGCTAACCCCAGGCTTGGCTATTCAAACCCATCAGCACTCCTTGGAAATCCCATACAGGGTTGCTATGAATTGGCACCGACTTGATAGCACTCAACAACAACAACGATAAAATGAATAATTACCACTATGAGAAACCTACTTCTCAGAACAGTCAGCTATATAAAAACCACAGTGGAAGCATTTGCCCCAAAACAAAGTTCAGCAGGCAGGAAGGGACAAGAAAGGATGAATGGAAATGGGAAACCCAAGGAGGAAGAAGAGTACTGGTACATTGAGGGGTTGCTGCTCAAGTCAAGAAAGAGAATGTATGGAACTTGTTGAATAAGAGAGGAATTCATTTGTTCTCTAAACTTTGACCCAAATCACAGTAAGATGTTTTAAAAAAAAAAAAAAGACAAAGAACCACTTTGGAATTCATATGGAATGATCCTCAAGACATACTGCTAATTGAAAAGAGCAAAGTGGAGGACAGAGTATGTGGTATGTTACCATCTGTGTTAGTGGGGAGAAGATGTCAGATGTCATTGTTTGCTTACCTATGCATAACATATCTCCTGATGAATACCCTGCTGCTGTGTGTAGGAAGGAACAAGGAACTGAGTAGCTGACAGTGGAGGTGGGAGGGAGATGTTTTGATGTATGCCTTTCTACTTTTTGATTTCCTAATCATGCAAATGTATTGGCTATTCAGAAAAATAAGCAAAATAAACCGATGACTTAGTTTAGAAAAAATTCTATTCTTATTCACTCCTCTCTGTCTCTGTCTCTCTTTCTTCCCCATTCCCATACCCCATTTCTCCAGTTTACCTCTAGGAGCTCAGAAAGCTATGTCAATAGCTTAGATTACTTACTGCAGGAGAAAAAGTGAGTATGGGAAAGGGTCCTTCATGGGGTGGACATTTCAGTGGGGGGTGCAGTAATTTCTGGGGTGTCCCCTAAAAGACTTGCACCAAATTGCTGTGAAAATAAAGCAGCTTTCCCACCCCAGGCCCAGTGTGCCTTCTAGGAGCATCCCGTTTGTCTGGTTAATAGCAAGTATGTGTAATGATAACCAAGTCAAAGGGTAGTGTTGCAGAGACAGAGAATATCCAACCCCCCTCCCTCCCAAATACTGAGTCCAAGATCTAAGTCTTCTCTCCACTTTGGCTCTTTGTCTTTTTGCCCAGTTCTTGGCAGTTTGCTGGAAGTTTTAAACAGGTAGTGCTTTGCTTTCATATGTGTTTTGAAAAGACTGCTCAGATTACCAGGAGAGAAAGAGGTGAATGGGTGTGAAACTTGTGGAGTTGTGTAAGAGAAAACCAAACAAGTGGATCCCAGGCTGAGATAGGACCATAGGGAGGCCCATCTTCAGGTGGACCTCCCTCAGAAGACAGAAGCATGAACTCAAGGCAAAGGCCTGAACTAGAGAGAAAAGATTTGAGGACATGTGGGTACAGACAAGGGCTGGGGAGGCTTTGTAGTAGAGCCCCCTCAACAGCCTAAAGGAACAAGGACTGATGTAGCTGAAGGATGGGATACTGACTGGCGATTTGAGGATGGTTCTGGCAGAAAAGCCAGGCTCTGGCAAGATCACGTTAGAGCCCTATGCTGTAGTGTGGGCCCACTGAATATAGGGAAGCAAGACACCCAGGGAGCTAGAAGGGAACTCAAGAGGCCTCTAGGTCTCTTCTAAGGAGATCTGGTGGTGCCGTGGTTAAGCACTCAGCTGCAAACTATTCAAAAGGTCAGTGTTTCGAACTCACCAGTTACGCCCACAGGAGAGAGGTGTTGCAGTCTGTTTCCATAAAGGTTCCACCCTTGGAAGTCCTATGGGGCAGGTGAACTCTGTCTTACAAGATTGCTATGAGTCTGAATCCACGTGATGGCAGCAGGTCTGAGGCCTGTACTAGAGATAAGGGGTAAAGGGTAGGAGAGTAGAGGATAAGGCTAAGTAAGATCTATAGGGCTGCTTTCGTGGCCAGAGACTCAGGAAATGTGCCAGGAGCTCCAAGGAGTTTTTCCCCAGAAGGAGCAGGTGGGCTAGACACAGGGCTTGGTGTACTAGAAATTGACAAAATATCCAAAACAAGGTATACAAATAAAAACATGTCTGAAGATGTCTGATGAAAATCATTTCCTTTAAGGCCTTTCTGTTCATTTGAAAACAATACCATACAACCACTTCCCTCTCTGAAACCCTGAGTTTTTGAGCCTTTGTGAAGAGAGACCAGGGCCCTTTGGTCCCGCTGTTCCTAGACATTGTCCATTGGGAACCCCTTCAGCCTGGTGACCTCTGACTTTGGCTCTTGTTTGCTCTGCAGGGAACAGTCTCTGGAGCAGGAGTGGGAGAATCTGCTTCTACAGGATTATCCCAACCTTCACTCATTGGATCTCAATGAAGATGAAGTGGCTCTCACACCTGAGCACAGGTGAGAGGAACAGACACAAAAGTAAGGGGACAAGGAGCAGAGTCCCAGCAGGCACATCTGAAAGTGAAGGGCTTAAGTGTCCACCCACTCTGGTTTTAGATAGAATGTCAGCCAGTACTTTGTGTACTCACATTCATTCATTGAGTTGAGGAATATTTAATTGCCTACCTCGTGTCAGGATCTAGTCTGGGCCTTTGAGGACACAAAGATGATAAAACATGGTCTGCTGTGTCCCCAATTTTCTGCCCAAATTTATAAAACCAGGTCTAGGAAACAGGACTATACAGACTGACCCACAGTTAAGTGAAAAATACCATTAAGGGGAGAATACAGCCAGAAGGCATCTTTCCTTTCCCCTGTCTGGGGACATAAAGGTGGCTTCTATCAGTGCTGTGTCCTGACTGGGGGCTCTGCTGGCCCTAATTTAATTGTGCCACTGGCTGGAGAGGCGCCTGGATTCATCTGTACCAAAAGGCTCAGGAAATGTGCTGAGGACCTGTGATTGAATCCATCATCAAGTTTCCCTGCTCATCAAGCATTTATTGAGTGTCATCTATGTGCCAGGCTCTGTTATATAGGCTCTGAGGATATTGCTGATGTAAAACTAAACAGAGATCTCTGCCCTTAGGTTACTTGATTTCAGATCCATGTTACAAACTATAAACAAGATAAAGATAGGGGGCTTCAAAAAGTTCATGGAAATTTTTCATAATCTTTAAAAGCCATTTTTCCATGAACTTTTTGAAGCCCTCTCATAACGAACAGAGCGAAAGAGAAAAGATAAATAGGAATGGTGCCTCCAGAGCATTGGGAGAGTTGTGAAACTGGATAGGGATCAGGGCAGGACTCAGTGAGGAGATGATTAAGTGGAGACCTGAAGGAGGTGAGAGAGCCAGTTCTGTGGGCACTCCACAATGGGAACAGCGGGAAGCTGAGAGGCCAGAGCAGAGGGGTGAGATATGAGGGGAAGAGGAAAACAAACAGGGCTAAATCTTCTAGTTTTTGCACCAAGTGAAAAGACAGCCAGTCTTCCAGTGCCCGCCTGAACAGGCCACTGTGTTGAGAATAGACTGGAGGGGTATGGGGAGGGGAGTAAGGGCAGAAGAATGGGGGGAAAGGTCATGTAGTGTCCAAGATTGGGGGTGGAAGGGTGGAATGGGCAAATTCGGGATGTAGTTTCAGAGTAGACCCAGCAGGAGTTGCTGGTGAACTAGAAGTGGGGAGGGTATGAGTAAAAGACAGTGACTCCAGGGCTTTGGCCTGCGCAACTGAAATGGTAGAGTTGCCTTTTAATTAAACTGAGCACAAGACTATGAGTTGTGCAGTCTGGGGAGAAGGGGTGGCGAGAAGTTGATAGCTTATTTGAGGAACCCCAAGAGAGAGAGATCTTTCTTGTCTTAATGATTTTTTGCTTTTTTCCTGTATGATGTTCTTGATGTCATCCCACAACTCTTCTGGTCTTCAGTCTTTAGTATCTAATGTATCACATCTGTTCTTCAGATGATCTCTAAATTCAAGGTCATATTTTGGCTCTCGTGGACTTGTTTTAATTTTCTTCAGCTTCAGGCTGAATTTGCATATGTGCAATTAATGGTCTGTTCCACAGCCTGCCCCTGGCCTTGTTTCGGCGGGTGATAGGGAGCTTTTCAACCGTCTCTTTCCACAGATGTACTCAATTTGATTTCTGTGTATTCCATCTGGTGAGGTCTCTCATGCTGTCTAAAGAAGGTATTTAAAATGAATAAATCATTGGTTTTGCAGAAATCTATCATACAATCTCCATCATCATTTCTATCACCAAGGCCATATTTTCCAACTACTGATCCTTCCTCTTTGGTTCCAACCTTTACAGCCCAGTCACCAGTAATGATCAATACATCTTGATTGCATGTTTGATCCAATTTCAGATTAAAGAAGTTGGTAGAATTCTTCTATTTCATCCTCACTGGCTTTAGTGGTTGTTACGTAAATTTGAATAATAGGGGTATCAACTGGTCTTCCTTGGTAGGTGCATGGATATTATCCTGTCACAGACAGCATTGTACCTCGTGGCTTACCTTGATGTGCTCTTTTTGACGATGACTACAACACCATTCGTCTTCAATTTGTCATTCCTGGCATAGTAAACCACGTGATTATCAGATTCAAAATGGCCAATACCAGTCCATTTCAGTTCACTAATGCCTAAGTTATCTATGTTTGTGCATTTCATTTCATTTTTGACAATTTCCAATTTTCCTAGATTCATACTTCGTACATTCCATATTCCAATTATTAATGGATGTTTACAGCTGTTTCTCTTCATTTTGAGTTGTGTCTAATCAGCAAATGATGGCTGTATTCCCATGAGCTTTATTCCCATGGGCTTTACTCCATTCGCACCATCACGGTCAACTCTTCTTTGAGCAGGCAGCTCTTCCCTGGTCGCATTTTGAATGCCTTCCAACCTGAGGGTCTCATTTTTAGCACTATATGTGACAGTGTTTCTCTGCTAGTCATAAGGTTTTCAGTGACTAAATATTTGGAAGTAGTTCGTCTCTCCTTCTTCGTAGTCTGTCTTCAACTGGGTTATGGTGTTGGAGGAGAATATTGAAAGTTCCATGGGCTGCCAAAAGAACCAACAGATCTGTGTTGGAAGAAGTGCAACCAGAGTGCTCCTTGGAGGCCAGGATGGCCAAACTTGGTCTCTCATACTTTGGCCATATTGTCAGGAGGGACCAGTTGCTAGAGAAGGATATCAAGGTTGGTAAGGTGGAGGGTCAGAGAGAAAGAGGAAGACCTCCAGCGAGATAAATTGACAAAGTGGCAGCATCCGTGGGCTCAAGCATGGCAACAATTGTGAGGTTGGCCCAGGACTGGGCAGGGTTTCATTCTGTCGTGCATAGGATCCCTATGAGTCGGTAGCGACTCAATAGAACCTAACAACAACAACAATGAGAGATAACAAGTAGATGACTCATCTGAAGATGCAGTCTCATAAAACCCCACCAAAAGAAATTAAAGAAGACTTAAAGAAATAGAAAGGTGTTCCAGGTTCATGGATTGGAAAAATTAGTATTGCTAAGATGTCAGTGCTACCCAAAGTGATTTATAGATTCAATACAGTCCCATACAAAATTTCAACAGCCTTCTTTACAGAAGTGGAAAAACCAATCTTCAAGTTTATGTTGAATGGCAAGGGGCCTCGAATAGCTAACACAATGTTGAAAGAGAAGAACAAAGTAGGAGGACTCACATTTCCTGATTGTAAAACACCCTGGTAGCGCTGTGGGATAAACACTGCAGTGCTAACCACAAAGTGGGCAATTCAAACCCACCAGCCACTCCACAGGAGAAAGATAAAGCTTTCTGCTCCCATAAGGATTTATAGTCTCTGAAACCCTTTAAAGAGTCACTGTAAGTTGGAATCAACTTGATGGCAAAGTTGAGTTTTTTTTATACAGCTATAATATACAAGGAGTCCTGGTGTGACACTGTGGGTTAATGCGCTAGACTGCAAAGTCAGTTTGAATCACAAGGTCAGTGGTTTAAGCTCACCAGCTGCTCCTTGGAAACCCTGTACTGGGTTTGGAAACCCTGTCGCTATGGGTCGGAACCTACTCTGTGGCACTTAACAACAATGATGACAATAGTACATAAACCTGGTACTAGTGTACTAGACATGTAGACCAATGAAATTGAGAGACCAGAAATACACACATTTATGGCCAACTGATTTTTTACTAGGATGCTATAAGTCCATTTGATGGAGAAGGAAGAGTTTCTTCAGTAAATGGTGGTGGGAAAGTTATATTTCCATGTGAGAAAAATAAATGCTTGACATCATACACAAAAACAAATTCAAAATGGATTAACAACCCTAAATGTCATTCATAGAAGAATAACACTGTGAAGAATGGGAATTTCAGAGCACTTAATTGTGTTCATGAAGAACCTGTACATAGACCAAGAAGCAATCATTCGAACAGAACAAAGAATACTGAGTGGTTTCAAATTAGGAAAGGTTTGTGTAAGGGATGTAGCTTTTCACTATATTTATTCAGTCTGAATGCTGAGCAGACAATACAAGCAGCTGGACTATATGAAGGAGAAAGCGGCATCAGGATTGAAAGAAGGCTCATTAACAACCTGCAATATGCAGATGATAAAGCCTTGATGAAAGCAAAGAGAACTTGACACACTCACTGTTGAAGATCAAAGACTACAGCCTTCAGTATGGATTACATCTCAATGTAAAGAAAAATTCTCACAACTGAACCAATAAACAACATCATCATGAATAGAGAAAAGATTGAAGTTGTCAAAGTTTTCATTTTACTTGATCCACAATCAATGCTCATGAACGCAGTAAGAAATCAAACATTGTATTGGGCAAATCTGCTGTAAAAGACCTCTTTAAAGTGTTAAAGATGGATACCTGGTGTGGTGCTGGAGAATAAGCACTGGATTGCTAAGTGCAAGATTGGTGGTTCAAACCCACCAGCTGTTCCTCAGAAACAACTTGATGGCACTTAACAACAATCACAAAGTATTAAAGAGCAAAGATGTTATGACCCAGCAATCCCTCGACTTGGTATGTATACACAAGAAATACAAGCCAGGACATGAGTAGATATATACACACCAAGGAGCTCTGGTAGTGTGTGTAGTGGTTATGAATTGGACTGCGAACCACAAGGTCAGCAGTTCAAAACTACTAACTGTTCCATGGGAGAAAGATGAGGCTTTCTGCTCCTGTAAAGATTTATAGCCTCAGAAACCCTGTACAGGGTTGCTATGAGTCAGAACCTACTCCACAGTACATAACCACCAATGTTCATCGCAGCACTATTCACATAGCAAAAAGAAGTGCAGAGAGGAGATCTGTCAGCAACAGCACAGAATCCCAGACCAAGCAGGCTCAGGGGATGGTGCCAGAACTCTGAACAACATATAAAGGAATAATTAGAAGGTTGGAAGGCTTATAGCTAGGGGAATTTGTAGCAGAAGCAAGAAATCCA